AAAGAAAGAAAGAAAAAGGATGAAGCAGTTTGGCCCAGAGAAAAGCATAAACATAATGTGTACACATACTTATATATATGTTGCCATTTAAACCATGGATATAGACATTAGACAATTAAATGAATTGGCTCAGTAAAGTGAAAAAGTGTTTTCGATAAATATGTAGTTATTGCTAATATGCTACACATTATGCTTTGACATGGAGACTGTTGTAACTTTTAAAGCTGCCATATTGCCAGTGCTAGCCCTGCAGTAGGCATTCCTATGGACAACATGCCATCCAATCTTGAAGAAAAAGCAAAACCACCACAAAAACAAAGGAAAGGCTTATGCACTGTCCCTTACATTTTTGTTGTTTTTTTTAAAACAAAACAAAACAAAAAACAAAAACAAGTCCAGTTCACCACAATTTAAGCACAACCTGACAAGCAAGTTTAGCGGCATGATGGGGAGAAAAGAGTGAGGTACAGCATGCATTTACAACCAGCGCTGATCTAGTCTACTTTGTCATATAAACTGGAATACAAAAACCCAATTTAAATAAGACTAGACTAACTATAATAGTTTAAAAAAAAAAACACACACAGTAGACTTAGTTTGATACTGATTAATTTTAAGAGTAAACTCATCTTGTCCCCTCTTAATACTCTACTGCAATTTATTTATTGATGGCTAGAATATTGACTGACTTAAAAAAGATATGAAATACCTGTATCATGAAATTACATTCTTATTAACAATAAGACATACTGTGTAAGAAAATAGCTCATGTGTGAAATGTGTCTGAAATGCATTTTTTTCCTTACAACTATCAAAACGTCCACTCACACTAAAACAAAACCACTCCCAACCCCCCCTGAAAAAATGTTAAGGAAAGATGGGGTGGGCTGGGGGAGGAGCAGGGAAGGAAAAGATTTAGCTATACTAATTACAGCACAGTGATTAACAATGGTTCAAGACAGAACCAACAAGAGTTGGTCAAAGGATGCCTTCAATACATGGCTACAATTAAAAACCAAACTCAGCCACTTTTGGTTCATTGCAGTGAGACCAAAAAAATCTCTCTCACAGATTCATATAAATACTAGATTTCAGCTCTTTTATTATTATTTTAAGTTTTTCTGCTTGTTTCTGCAAGGCCTAGCTACCTTATTACAATTTATATTTGCTCTGCAACAACTACAAGAGGTAGGCATAAAGCATGAAAAAGTTTCTCAGTTAGTACCTCCACATGAGTCGCTCACTGCATAATACCATTCGCTTTGGACGCGAATCGTCATTCCTTCTAATCTCTTCTAAACTCTAAAGCAAAGCTGCTACCATCCTGCCCATAAATGTTCTAAAAGAGTGTACTCACCAATAAGAAACTTTCTCTACTGAAGGATACTGTCATAGTGTTTGTTGCAGAGCATCTCTATATTTATTTATTTTAAAAAAATAAACAACAATGAAGAACAAACCCAGGTTCCTAGAACCAATCCTCTTGATTTTCTACTTCCACAAAATAAACTGTATCATTTGGCCAAGACTACAGATGTGTTTTTTTTTTTTTTTTTTTTTTCTTCACAGATGCAGTGCCATGCAAAAATAAATTAAAGAACAGATACCAAAACATACATTTGATAAAACTACAGAAGGCAGATCTTTAAAAGCATTTATATAAACATAATTTATAATACTTCTCTTTCTTCCTTTATATACAGTCACAAAGCTGTAGTTATACATCTAGGATTTCCTCGGCTGTACCTCCACAGCGCAATCTGTAGCGACCAGTTCTCCAGCTTATAGTTGGGTCCCATAATGCCGACAAAAATATGTATATTGTCATGGATTCGCGAATGAACCAAGCAACTGCATAATCAAGTTTTGAAAAACACAGTGTGCCACCCTAGGAATGGGAAAAAATTTTGATTCACTCACTGTCAAACTAAAGACAGAGTTAAAACATTACATTCTTAGATTTCCCTTTCTTTTTCTTTCTTTTTATTTTTTATTTTCTTTAGAGATGAGGTTTTACCATGTTGGTCAGGCTGGTCTTGAACTCCTGACCTCAGGTGATCCACTCACCTTCGCCTCCCAAAGTGCTGGGATTACAGGTGTGAGCCACCACACCCGGCCTAGATTTCACTTTTCTAAGTATACTATGTAAAATCAAGTCTGCTTCCTTATGTAATTTAGCTGCCATATTATACTATTCAAGAAAATGCTAATTGTTAATAGAAGAAGCATTAAAATAACTGCTATCTTAATATATTATTAGTTTGAACACTCACTGATTTGATTAACTTCAATAAATTGTTAATTGTTAATAGAAGAAACATTAAAATAACTGCTATCTTAATGCATTATTAGTTTGAATACTCACTGATTTGATTAACTTCATGCTTTTGGAACCTTAAAAGTGATTATATAGCCAATAGAAAGCTGTAAATCAACTTAAGTTTTGTGTCGACATTCCACTAGAGAAAGTAATGTTCAAACCTGAGACTAACCTACAATGGGAGGCTGAAGAATAGCTCAGAGAGATCTTCTTCAACTTTTTCTAAATTAAAACAGTTCTAGTTCCACTAAGTGACTGCCAACCTTCTCATGCCTACACATACCTGGACACCCCTGAGTTGAATGTAGTCAAATATAAACCATGCCAGGCAATGACACATGAAAAATACCATAATATCCCATCTGAATACGTGGTGGGCTGCCCAGCCAATAATTAAACTGGCAACAAAGCATTCTGAAATTGGTTCACAAATTATTGTAGCAGGAAGCATGTTAATTCGCAGTTTGGTCCACCTAGAAAAACAAAAAGGATTTTCTTTAAAACAAAGTCTGGTAGGCCCAGCATGGTGGCTCATGCCTGTAATCCCAGCACTTTGAGAGCCAAGTCGGGTGGATTACCTGAGGTCAGGAGTTTGAGACCAGTCTGACCAACATGGTGAAACCTTGTCTCAAAAAATAAAAAATAAATAAAAAAACAAAGTCTGGTTACAAGACTAATTTGTTTTTTCCCCAAAAAAATAATCAACTTTTTTACCTTGTGATGGAAAGGCCATTCTCTTTAAACTTTTTTTTTTTTTTTAAAAACTTGAGATGGGGCTCTGCTCTGCCACCCAGGCTGGAGTGTAGTGGTGCTCATTGCAGCTTCGATCTCCCAGGCTCAAGTGATCCTCCCACCTCATCCCGCCAAGTAGCTGGGACCACAGGTGCACACAACACCATATACACTGACTAATTTTTGCATTTTTTGTAGAGACAGGGTTTCACTATGTTGTCTAGGCTGGTCTTGAACTCCTGGGCTCAAACAAGATCCTCTCCCCTTGGCCTCCCAAAGTGTTGGGATTATAGGCGTGAAACACCACACCCAACCCCAAATTTTTTTTAATGACTCTCTTTTTTATTTTTGTATAGGATGTCAAAGAAAAATGTCTATAAATTCATTTGTATGGCCTATATGCTGATGAATGCAGATTATAAAATTTAATCAGCACAGAAAGTTAGAAAACAGAGACTCAGCATATTAAAAAAATTCAGCCTCAGCATTTCTGTACTGAGTGCTTTCAGTGTTATACAGCGAAGAACATATATTTTGACATTAAACTTACCTTAAACACAGAAGCTAAACTCTATTTGCTGGAACTAAACAAAAATCTAAACTTTAGGTGTATTTATTTAACTATATTAAACCCTGTAAAAATTACCACCCCAACCTTTCCTTTTAACTAAGTATAAAAAGAAAACAGTTGATTTACCTGATCATTCTGGATTGAAACTGAGAAATTGAATATGAGCCAGAGTTTTGCATTGCAACTTGAGTGGACATTGCAAACCTCCAACCTCTGAAAATTAAGACAATTAGAAAATAAGTTATGATGATGAACACATGCAAGCATAACTGGTTATGCGTTTATCAAGACCGGGCAACTGCTAGTATTCAAGGTGAGCCCAGTTTTCAGGATTAGCACACTATTTAAGGTCTACCATACATATGGATATTTCAGCAATTACATTGGCCCATAATGGCACCATCTAAGAACTAGATGAAACTACCCTCCTTACTTTATGGTTTAAGAAACTTAACATGCAGTCATTCAGAAAAAAATGGAGAGGGTTCTGTATTTAATAGATTAGTCTCTGATGACTGCTAACCAAACAACAACAACAAAGTTGTGTGAATATTCAACAAGAAATGCACTCAGAAAGTGGCATTATGGATCTCATGGGAGACACTAGGAAACCATAAACCACAAGAACACAATCATGACAGAATTTTTACTTAAAACACACTTCAGTTTTTAAAAAATTAAAAAAAAATTATCACTCAAGGCAGTGATCCCCTTTAAAAACAAACAAATATTTTGTGATAGAGAAATGCTAAGCCAGTCATATAAATCTTTCAGAGGCTTCTTAGCAAAGTATCACTGATAAATTTCAAATTTTGAAATGATAGTCTTTAAATTTTAACCTCCTGGTTTATTACTGCACTAATAGTTTTAATTCTTCTAAAACACATAGAAATTTATATCTATATAGTAAAAATTCTAATCACAGAGAAGTTTCCTTTTAATCACTTTAAAACACATTAATTTGAAAAATGTAGAGGCTTACTTGTTTCATTAGTAAATAGCTACAAATGTAGAATTAGAATATGAATTACTCTCTAAAATTGATCTACTGGTTGCAGTGGCTCATACCTGTAATCCCAGCACTTTGGGAGGCTGGGGTGGGCAGATCACTTGAGGTCAGGAGTTCAAGACCAGCCTGGCCAACATGATGAAACCCTATCTCTACTAAATATACAAAAACTAGCTGCATGTGGTGGTGCATGCCTGTAGTCTCAGCTGCTCTGGTGGCTGAGGCACAAGAATTGCTTGGATCCGGGAGGCAAAGGTTGCAGTGAGCCAAGATTGTGCCACTGCACTCCAGCCTGGGTGACAGAGCAAGATTCCGTCTTAAAAACAAAGTAATAATATTACTGACCTATTCTGTGCTTATTAGCAAAAAAGTAAAATTAAATTAACCCTAATCTATAGGTTGAACAAAAAGAATAAACCAACAGAAGTTAGGTAATAAAAATACTACGGCTTCATTTAGTTGTCTTACCGGTCAGCTATCGCTTTGGCCATAAAGTAATCTTCAGCAATGTACTGAGCAAAAGCTATAAGTCCTCCTGCTTGATCTAACACATCTTTTCTCATTAAACAAGACATTCCTGTCACACATTTGAAACCAGTTACATTGGCAGAGATATAGTATCTTGGATGTGAAGTTCCAAAATATACCTGCCCAAAAAAACCACAAATGTATACGATTAGAATTTCACGTTAAAAGCATGGTGTGTATAAACTTTTAAACATTTTTCCCATTGATTTTTTAAAAGTATGACTGAGTGAATATCCTATTATTCTTAGGTAAACTATCTGAATAAAAAAATGGTACACAATATTGCTTTCATAGAGCAAGTATAGTTAGTAATCTAAAAACGCATCCAAATAAAACTTAACTTAGATACAAAATAAGATAAAAATATCACTCATTGACATATAAAATATTAACAAATATTTAATGTATCTTGTTTTCAGGCTGCCTACGTAAATATACACACACATCTACTTAGTTTACTTGGATTAATATACAAATATATTTTGTATATATATGTGTATATACATGCATGCATACACACACCACCAATAAGTGTATCAACCTTCAGGACAATCCTATTTCTTTATTTCCTTTTCTTTTTTTCGGCGGGGGGTGGGGGTCGGGCAGGCAGGACAATCCTATTTCTTAATTCCTTTTCTTGCATCCTCTTGTAACCGCCTCTCTCTTAGTCACTAAGATTCTTCCCAATTTCCTCATTTTTTTTTCAATGTATTTTTCATAACAAGGATACCAAAATTCGCTCTCAACCCCTACTGCTTTTTCTCTACATATACTCTGAAGTCATAAGATATATAGGCTTATAAATCAATGTAGAAAAGGACTGTCATCACTTTACTTCGCAGATATAAAATCCCATTTATTATTTACATGTCAGATATGTTGCCTTTTCTAATTAGCTTGAAATAAAGAGTAGTGGTCTTTCTCAGTGTCAGGAGTTACACACACAGTACACAGCAAGAGAATTCTAAGAGGCAATTAAGATTATGATTCTTGCTACCTACCCTGAACCCAGACTCCAGTGAAGCCCTAGTGTTTGTGGGACTGAATCAAACCTGACTTCTAAGAACAAAGGCACACATCTTAATTCCTCAGCAGTTATTAAGTGAGATCTTAGGAAGGAGACGTTAGTCACTGAGCTGAATGCTCCCAGGATTTCTTTATAGCTGAGAATGATTCATTCAATGCCAACTAAGTATGGCAGTGTGACTTCCAGAGATTAAACCTACACTAAGGGAGTAAGTATATTGTGGGAGATGTTTATTGACATATGCATCATGGAGACTTTATTGACATCTATATCAAGTTGGCTATTTCTAAGATAAGAACACAATTTGGTATATTAGAATATATTGAATTTTATTTTAAAGCAGCTACTCCGTTTCTTTCTCTAAACAAAAGTACTGATATCTAAAACTAACAATTTCTTGCAGTAGGACAAATATATTTATACGCAATATTAAGAAAGAGCTCATGGTTCAAACTGCCAAAGGTCAGATGCAAGTTCCCACAATGTACCTTTACTCCTTCAGATATGTGGCAATCATAAGACTGCAATTCAAAAGAATATAAATGCAGATATGCT